TATAGCTATATTTAATTATGAAAAGTGGTTATTTGCCATCATTCTTCTAAACACTGATTTTTTTCACTTTGAATGGCAAGCTAAATACTATGTTATTCTCGCATTGTTCTAGAAACCCCGTAGTTTACAAATTTAGTGTGTGTATTCAGAATCACCCAAGCTGCTTGTAAAAAATGCAACTTCCTGGCCGCATCCCCAGAGATTCAGGATGTGGCCCAAGACTCTACAGTTTACTAAGCTCCGTAAGTGACTCTGAAGCAGGTGGTCCATAGACCTTGAACCAAGGGCTCACAACAAAAATTAGCTGGGTGTGGTGGACGTGCCCCTGTGATCCCAGGTACTCAAGAGGCTGAGGCAGGAGAATCACTTGAACCTGGGAGGTGGAGGTTGCAGTGAGCCAAGACTGTGCCACTGGACCCCAGCCTGGGCGAAAGAGTAAGATTCCATCTCAAAAAAAAAAAAAAGAAAGAAAGAAATTATTGCACCATCAGAACACTACAGTAATCATTGCTGCAAACAGGACTCACCAGTGGATACCAAAAGGTGATGGACAAAACTTTGAGAAGAAACAGAACGTTTGCATAGCCTCGAAGTATCTCCTGCAAGATATCAATTACAGGAAGGAAAAATGGTAGCTTTGTTGTGGAGAATCCCCACAGACACCACTTTAATCAGGTAATCGAGGTCAACATCAATAAAAATATCTGTTGCCATAAAGTAGCCCCTGAAATCAGGCAGGAGAAGGGCATATTGCTTCTGTAGAATTCTTCCCAGTAGTGCATAAACTCTAACCATGAGAAAACGCCGGATGAGCCCAAATCACGAGCCATTCTACAAAATATCACACCAGTATTCTTCAGAAGTGTCAAGGTCATAACAGACAAGGAAGACTGAGAAACTGTCACAGATGAGAGGAGTCTAAGGAGCCGTGGCAATTAATACAACATGGGATCCAAGATTAGGTCCTGAAACAGAAAAGGAACATTAGTGGGAAAACTGGAAATAGCTGAATTAAGTCTGTAATTCAGTTACTACTATTGTAATATTGTTAAATCATTACTTTTGATAATTGTATCATAATTATCTAAGATGTGGACATAAGGGGAAGCTAGGTGAAGGATATATGGGAATCTTTTGCCTATTTTCTGTAACTTTAAATTTTTTTCACAAAAATGAAGACAGTATATTTGCTTAGTATTGTGTATACCCTGCAACGGTTTAGTATTCAAGAATATGTAAAATCCCCACTTAGCCAACATCTTCAGGACGTACCCACCCTGCCCAATATACTTTTATATTCTAGCCAAATGAAATCTTGTATTGTTAGCCCCTTTGGAGGGAAGTAGGAGTAATACAATTTTTGTCTGTATTATAAAATATTTAATTTTTTTTTTTTTTTCTCGAGACGGAGTCTTGATCTGTCACCCAGGCTGGAATGCAATGGCGTGATATCAGCTCACTGCAACCTCCACCTCCTGGGTTCAAGTGATTCGCCTGCCTCAGCTTCCTGAGTAGCTGGGATTACAGGCACGAGACACCACTCCTGGCTAATTTTTTGTATTTTTAGTAGAGACGGGGTTTCACCATGTTGGCCAGGCTGGTCTTGAACTCCTGACCTCGTGATATGCCCGCCTCAACCTCCCAAAGTGCTGGGATTACAGGCATAAGCCACCATGCCCGGCCTATAAAATATTTTAAGGCAATGTAACAACTAGCTGCATGCCCACACCTCATTTTTAAAAATACAGCAACCCAGCGTAGCCTGTGTTCCCATACTTTGTGGCATCCAGCTCCTTTTGTGCACTTCCACCACACCACATGACTGCTGCCACTCAGAGATCATCAGTGGAACTTGGTGTTTACTCTTCTTGTTCATTATTTTTCGCTTTTCAAATCTTAGCATAAGGTGCATCCTACCGATCAGATCTACCACTTTTTTGCTCTGCATGTTTGTCTAATTCATTCCTTTACTCTGTAGATTTTCGCTGTACAAATACCCAGTATTTATCCATTCTCTCACTGGAAAACAATGAGTGTTTTTTGTTGGGTTGGTTGTTTTTTTGTGTGTGCTTTTTTTGTTTTTTTGTTTTGTTTTGTTTTTTTGAATAGGTTCTGTTCATTTGTAAAAGTGTCTTCTGAAGCCAAAGGAGATCTCTACCCTTTCTGAACTCCAGTAACACTTATCTATGACTTCTAACTCGGCATTTGTGACTTTCCATGATAATAATTGTTCTTTTCTCCCATGTTAGATGGAAAGTTTCTTGAGGGTCTGATTCCCAAAGATAGATGTTATTAGCATAATAAGAATTTAATTTTCTTTCACGAATAAGCAAATACTTAATAAATTAAACACTGTCTACACATAGATCTTGAGAATACTTGTGTTTATTCCCTTGGTTGTTACATGATATTACCTCTTGGGGACTTTTCTTTGTTGGAAGGATTTTATGCAATATGGGAAACTGGTCACTGAGGTGGAAGTATGGAGCATAAATAAAGCCTAAAGCTTTAATTTGAGAATTATGTGCTAAGTTTTCAAGCAACACAGGTACTGGGTTGTGCGCGTGTGCGCGCGTGTGTGTGTGTGTGTGTGTGTGTGCGTGTGTTTTAACATCCTATAGGAAAATTGACAAAATTAGTAATAATTTTACCTGCATTTGTCATGGCAAAGCAGAGGGGAACTGACTAATTTGTATTATGGTTTTTGTGCACATTCTTAATAAAATGTGTAATATTTACCATTTAGAATTTTTACCATTTAGAATCTATACCTAGAATGGAATTACCCTAATTATTTTCCTCCAAAATTATTTCATTCAGATGTTGATGTTACTCTGTGAAAACATTTCACAGATTTCACAGCTCTCTTGCCTATCTTATTTGATTTCTTCAACAGCTTTGGCAGAAATAAGCAGGGCTAATATTATCATCCATACTCGACGGGTTACACTGGAAGGGAAGCTGGGGGAGATTAAAGACTCCCTCAGGGTCACAGAACAGAACCAGAAACCAGATCTTTCAACTTAGTCCTGTCTCTGTCCAGATATTACAGTTCCAGTGCTTAAAGTAAGCGAAAGTATTAATTAAGATATTATTGCTTAGCCAGCATTTTAATAGATAGTTCAGTAACATAATACCCACTCAACATTTCGTTAGAGTAATTCGGGAGTTTCTCATCTTTAGTGAGAGTAACTATTGTTAGTGATTAGTAACTGCCTTTTTGCTACATTCTTTGATAGAAGAGTTCAAAGGAAAGATTACACCGAACATTGCAAAAGCGTGTGTTGTGACTGGTGTGTATTTTAAAGGGAAGAAAATCTTACAAGTGAAACAGATAGGAAGGTGTGACATAATGTTAAGTATCTGAGATGACAAATGGTTTTTTGATAGCTTGAGACCTACAGAGGAATTAAAACCTCTCGGCATATAGACAAGTGCAGTTGATCACTCAAATTGCAATTTTATAAAATGCAGCAGCAGTACACTTAGAATATTGTCTTCGTGTCAGAAATGCACCTTTGTGCTTGAAAATGATAAAAAATTACAATCGATCCTTACAACTGTTCTGTTCATCTTTATTGATCAGGTGCAAGAAAGATAAATCGTAGCCCAAATAAGATTATAGTAAATGTTAGCATCGTAGGGGACTATAGGTTGATAGAAAGCCATTCATCATCTCAAATGGTGACCTGTCCATGGCTCTAGCCACCCTGAGTCTGCTGTCTAATCACATACCTATTGATTTTATCTACATCCAAGAATCCTGGATGTGACTGTCATTGGACAACCTAGATTGTTAAATGCAAAGGGGTCGCTGGTGTGAAGAGGATTTCACTTTCATTTTTTCACCAACCAACAATGATTTATTAAAAAATAAATGATCCCAAGCCATGCATGTGAAACCTGAGTGATTAGAGAATGAAAGGTACACAATAGACCACTGTATTGTGGTGGTGTTTTTGTTGTTGTTTTTTAATGCAGTGCATTTTGCAGGATATTTCATTGAGTCTCAGGGCTCATGGGGTCATTTAGGCCACCTCCTGCAATAAGACCAGTTTCAGTGTAGCTAGTCAGAATGGATAAATTTTGCTGCCCTAGGAAAGGCATTACTTTGCCACTGCATCTTGGTTTATGTTGTTTATGTGTCCATTCATGTTAATAGTGGAAACATTTTTTGTTATTAAAATTATCTCAATCTGCCCCCTTGTTCCTACTGATTAGTTATAAATGTTGCTGTTCTTGTGGTCATGTGGAAATGATAGAACAACTTAAACTCCATAAAGAAAACTTTTTTTTTTTTCTTTTTTTGAGACGGAGTTTTGCTCTTGTTGCCCAGACTGGAGTGCAATGGCTCCATCTCTGCTCATCGCATCCTCCACCTCCCGGGTTCAAGTGATTCTCCTGCCTCAACCTCCTGATTAGCTGGAATTACAGGCATGTGCCACCGGTTTCTCCATATTGGTCAGGCTGGTCTCGAACTCCTGACCTCAGGTGATCCGCCCAACTTGGCTTACCAGAGTGCTGGGATTAGAGGTGTAAGCCATACATACCATCTTGATGACAAAAATATTGTGTAGAAAGAAATGATCTTTAATATCCTAGTAGGAACACCAGTGGAATAATAGGCAAATACGAATATGTGTGAATTTCAGTTTTTGATCTCAGGCATCCTTTGATCTTACAAGGGTAGATTCCAAATAATGGCGATCTAAAGAATCTTTCCAGAATGTTAGAAATTTTCTCCAGAGGATCAAATGATAAGGAATCGTAACTGTGAAAGTTTACTCTGTAATTATAATTGGTATGTACCAACAACTCTACTGTTATTTAAACAAGTAGCTTCCCATGTGTTTTATAATTATCTATGCCACCTTTACAAGAAAGCCTTCTACTGCTTGAGTGGCTGAAACAAGGTTTTATGTATTTTTTGAAGTTGTAAATCTTCCACACGTTTTGTCATCTTGGATAGTGAAACCTTTGCTATCAATCTTTGTCCACAGAGCTCGGAGTTCTACAAAGTCACCACTGAACAGTATCAGAAAGCTGCTGAAGAGGTGGAAGCAAAGTTCAAGTAAGTTTTTAATAGTACTGTAATTATTTACTGTTCTTAACAAGATGAAAGCACAATTTTAGTGCTTTTTACACAGGACATAGTTTGTTATATAGCACTCTAGAATACTTGGAAGAGTTTGGGGGTGGTTGACAGGGGGTCATGTTATCTGCTAAACTGGAATTCAGATGCCGAGAAAAAGGCATTTGATGAAAGCTTGCTGCAAATCAATGTATTTTATGAACTAGGGGGAAATCGAAATTAATGGTAATAGAATTTTCATTTGTAATAATATATAAAATAGAATGCCCTTGATTATGGAGGTCATGTTAAATTGCTACTCTACTAAGGGAAACATAGAAACCATTCACTTTTGTATAATAAAATGATGGGCATGTCCAGATTTGGGTGTCTGCCTTTCTCATGGTTAGGCTGTTTTCATTTCTTCACATGTACCTTGAAAGCCTTTAAATCATAGACTTTACCTGGCCCTTGATTATGAAGGTGATGTTAAATTGCTACCTCTCTTAATCCTTGGAGTGTTTAAATGAACGTTCTGTAATTGATGGATCAAAGTGTCCGTGACCCATAGCCTTGTACTTTCCCTTTGCTGCCAGTTCTAACATTAGGTAAGAAGACATCATTCAGAATTTTTCTAAGTATATAAATAGTCCTATTGTGTAACCCCTATTAGTAGCACATGTGCAAATTAGTGAAGCAAAAAAAGTTGTTGTGACAGCTTTAGTTGAAAGATTGCATCGGGCTCTGACCTCCTTCCTTGCACATGTTTACAAGCATTTGATAAAATGATTAAACCCTAAGGTGGAATTACTACTTTCTGCTACAGTACAATTTGTATGGTAATGGATATTAGTGTTACTGTAATGTGGATTCAAATAAAATTTTTTTAAAATTGAAGATGGTTTGAGGTTTATTTAAAGAGCCAAAACCCTTCAGCCTTCCTTAGTGAATTATCTCTTTGGAGGCAGCAGAGAGAGACCTTCTAAGGATGGGCCACAAGTCTCACTATGAAAGATTAACGTGAGATCTTAAGAGTTTAGACATATTAATAGAACTGGGTATAGATTTTTTTAAGTTACTCTACATATCTTATTTTAAGTTAGGTGTTTATTTTTCTTCCTAATGATATAGTGACTTTTTTTTTTTTAAGTAGTAAACTTTTTTTTGTCTCTATACCATGAGAACCTTTGAGTTGGCTCCCCGAGTATTTCTTTATTCTAAGACAATCGCTATAAAAACAACTAAATTTGGGATATGTTAGGGATCAATTTTGACTAGAGTGATCTGTGAAGTTTTCATAAAGAAGATGATTTTTTAGTTGAGCCTTTAAGAAGAGTATTGAGTAGGTGGATGGGAAAGACATTCAGAAGGAAGACTACGCTCTATAATTGGTGGGTGACAAAGCAGTGGCTTGAATCAGAGAGACTTGCGCAGGATAAAGCTGGAAAGGTCAGTGGGTCATTAGCTGCTGAGCTGTGAAGTTTGGTCTTCATTGAGCAATGAGTCATGGGAAGATGTTTGACCAGATGAGTGCTCTGATTTCTGGGCTCCTAAAGGAAAAGTAACCTGACAGTGGATGTGGGGTTTAGTTGGAGGTATGAAAAATAAGAACTCGAAGAATGAGATAAGGCGCGGTGGCTCACACCTGTAATCCCAGCACTTTGGGAGGCTGAGGCAGGAGGATCGTGACCAGCCTGGTCAACATAGTGAGACCCTATATCTACAAAAGGAAAACTTAAAAATTAGCCAGTTGTGGGGGCATGTACTTGTGGTCCCAGCTATTGGAGAGGCTAAGGTGGAGGATGGCTTGAACCCAGGATTGCAGTGAGCTATGATTGTGCCATTGCACTCCAGTCACAGAGCGAGACTATGTCTTAAAAAAAGAAAAAGAAAAAAAAAAATCAGATGGGAAGTCTCTACAAGTGCAAGAGAAAAAAGAAGTTGTTGAAAGTTTAGACATGGCGCCAGGCCTGATGGCTCACGTCTGTAATCCCAGCACTTTGGGAGGCCAAGGCAGGCAGATCACTTGAGGCCAAGAGTTCAAGATCAGCCTAGGCAATGTGTCAGAACTCCATCTCTACTAAAAATAGAAAAATGAGCTGGGCATGGTGGTGCATGCCTGTAATCCCAGCTACTGAGGTAGCTAAGGCTAAGGCAGGAGAATCGCTTGAATCCGGGAGGCAAAGGTTGCAGTGAGCCGAGATCATGCCATTGCATTCTAGCCTGGGCAACAGAACAAGACTCTCAAAAAAAAAAAAAAAAAAAAAAGATTAGACATGAATTAGTGATTGGTTGGTGTATTAGTTTGCCAGAACTGCAAAGTACCACAGACCGGGTGGCCTAAATAACAGAAATGTATTTTCTCACAGTTCTGGAGGCTAAAAGTCTGAGGTCAAGGTGACGCCAGGGCTGGTTGCTTCTAGGCCTCTCTCCTTGGCTTATAGATGACCATTTGCTCCCTGTGTCTTGACACAATCTTTCCTCTTGTGTCTACATGCTAATCTTCTTTTCTTACGAGAATCCAGTCATATTAAACTAAAACCCTCCCTTGTGACCTCACTACAATTTAATTACCTCCTCAAAGCCCCTCACCCCAAATACAGTCACATTCTGAGATACTGAGCAGTGGACTTAGGAATTTTCAGGGCACACAGTTCATCCCCTAACATTTAGATAAAAGGGGCAAAAGAACCAGAATTATGAGGTTAGCAGATTGGAAAATCAGTGGAGAGTGGATTTCATAGAAAAAGATAGTTCTGGTTTTAGATGGAAAAATATCTGTCCTGAAGTTCTGCCCAGCTGCTGTGTCATTTAGCCTGAGCTAGGCTTGGGGAGCGAGAGGCCACGGGAAGCACAAAATTGACATCATGATGGCTGACCTCCTGCAGGTCAGCAGGGCCCTGTAAGTTAGGCTTTGTTTTAAACAGAACCTCAACAGCATCATTTTGTCTTACCTATTAAATATTATTCAAGAATAATTAATAATCTGGCCAAACTGTGTAGTAAGGAATTGGCCTTGGCCAAAGAGAAGTCTGGATTTTGTACCAAGCTCCTGGGAAATTATAAATCCTTAGAATTTCCTAAGTGATAGAAATTGTTATTCTCAGCCAGGCATGGTGGCTCATGGCTGTAATCCCAGCACTTAGGGAGGCCGAGGCGGGCAGATTGCTTGAGCCCAGGAGTTCGAGACCAGCCTGTCCAACATGGTGAATCTCTGTCTTTACAAAAAAAATACAAAAATTAACCAGGTGTGGTGGTGTATGCCTGTAGTCCCCAGCTACTCTGGAGGCTGAGGTGGGAGGATCACCTGAGCCTAGGAGGCAAAGGTTATAGTGAGCCAAGATGGTAGCACTGCCTTCCAGCCTGGGCAACACAACGAGACCCTGTCTCAAAAAAAAAAAGAGAGAGAGAGAGAAAAAAAAGAAATTGCTATTCTTGCTGGGCCCCTTGGACCATGTGGTATCAGCTCAGCCTCTGAGAGGGTGAGTTTATCATGTGGATCATCAGTCAGTCAAGCTGTTTAATGAGGCTCCAATAAAACTCTGAACAGTGCTGCTCAGGTGAGCTTTCCTGGTTGACTGGACTCCGTGGGCACTGTCACACATTGCTATCAGGAGAGCAGCAGGTCCTAAGGACATTGGAAGCTTTGCATTTGGAACCCACCCCCCACCCCATCCCCACCCCAAGTGCAGTCCTATGCATCTCTTCCTTTGGCTGATTTTCTGTATCATTGCCTTATAGTAAACTATAACTGAGTTTAACAGCTTACATTGAGTTCTGAGTTCTTTCAGTGAATTATTGAACCATTGAATTTTGGGTGGTTTGGACCCCCTCTGCCTCCGGCAAACTTGGTGTTGATGTGTCAGAAGTGAGAGCAATCTTGGGGACTGTACCCTTGGATTTTTGCAGTTTGACTAACTCCAATGCACACAAAACCTAGGTTTTAACACACTGTGAAGAAATTTTAATAGCTAGTTTTTTAGAGAGTAGTTTTCATTGTACCATTTTTTTCTCCCAGCTACTTCCTGCTAGACTGAGCTTCCTAGAATGTTGTATTTTGATTTGCAGTGAGTTCATTAGCTTCACACCTAGGGAGCTATAGTACATTGGATATAGGAGATGCTTGCCATCTTTGAAGGCACAGAGATTACTTAGTAGACTGCTATTTCTTTTTAGAAATTTGGCCATCTCAGATAATCAGGACTTTTGTAAGACAATATATAATATTTGCATTGCATGACAGGGGTTTTTCGCCTGGTCAGATTTTTTTCACTGGCTCCTATCTGTATGACCAGCTTAGCACCTGTAAGCATCACCTTGAAGAGTTCTCTCTTGAACCTGTACCTGAACTCAACAGTTCCTCTTAGGCAACAAGTTCTAAAGGACTTTGAGGAGAATTTAGTTAATTGTATCTGAAGAAAGTAGGATTCATTTGTGTGCATCTTGGTTACAGGAGATAGAAGCTTTTTAAAATGCAGTGTCAAGGGCAGTATTATATACCTGATCGGGGTCATACAAATCACTGTAAAGAGAAAGAAAGCTAAGAGCATTTGAAGCTGCCCACGACTAACACCAGTCCATTGATGCAACCTACCAGGATAGCTAATGGAATTATTTTAGGGATGCTTAAAATATTAGCTCATATTTCAGCCCCTCAATTAATAGTTTTGGCAGTAAAATACTTTAAGAATTAATGGATTGTTTTCTCCTACTTTATCCACACATCATTCATTCATAGAGCCCCTGTGTGACAAGCCAAGCTCTGAATACAAAACTAAGAAAACAGGCCAGGATCTTACTACTAGCGTGAAACTCAGAGTTCATGAGAGAAAAACAAAAGGAAGACAAACTTTTTAAATGATGATCTTTTTAAAAATCCAAAGTTAGTTCTCTTCTGTTGGGGTGATTACATTCCTAATGCATATCAAGTTGTTAGAAATATTATTTACCATGATTTCAGTGGGAACTAAGGGATTTGAAGATAATTTGGGCTATTTATT